CAGAATCAGAGTCAGAATCAGAGTCAGAATCAGAATCAGAGTCAGAGTCAGAGTCAGAATCAGAATCAGAGTCAGAGTCAGAATCAGAGTCACAGTCAGAGTCAGAGTCAGAGTCAGAGTCAGAATCAGAGTCAGAATCAGAGTCAGAATCAGAATCAGAGTCAGAATCAGAGTCAGAGTCAGAGTCAGAGTCAGAATCAGAGTCAGAATCAGAGTCAGAGTCAGAATCAGAGTCAGAATCAGAGTCAGAGTCAGAATCAGAGTCAGAGTCAGAATCAGAATCAGAGTCAGAGTCAGAGTCAGAATCAGAGTCAGAGTCAGAGTCAGAATCAGAATCAGAGTCAGAGTCAGAGTCAGAGTCAGAGTCAGAATCAGAGTCAGAGTCAGAATCAGAGTCAGAGTCAGAATCAGAATCATAATCAGAGTCAGAGTCAGAGTCAGAGTCAGAATCAGAGTCAGAGTCAGAGTCAGAATCAGAGTCAGAGTCAGAATACCTGTATTAGTCCCACGGAGGGGGCATTTACATTGTTACAGCAGAAAAGAGCCAAAGACAGCTTAATGCTAACTAAGAAGCATGCATACAAAAAATACGACAAAAAGTTAACCAATTTACAAAGAATGTCAGTGCATGAAGGATGACTGTTCATTCATCTATGGGTTCAACATGCTTATTACTGGATCCTTTATACGTTTGAGTTGATTTGAGAGATATATTATACATACATGGTCCAAAAAATAACAAAAATAACACGTTTAATTTCTAAGCGCTTTTTCTCAAAGACACTGTACAGAGGTATTAAAGAGGAACTCAAATATAAAAAGTTGAATTCAAATATTAAAACAACCACACACAACATTATTAACACATTAAAAGCCAGTACACATATATATGATCTATTAATCAATGTTGTATTTATTATGCACAAAATGTTATGTATGTAATCATCCCTTGTTCGTCTTTCACATGAAGTGTGAATTTAACCAGCGTTGGAAAGTCTTGTCATTAAATGCTTCTTTATCCACTTCTGCTCCACTTCATCTCAGAGGTAAATATTCTACTTTTACACCAAATGCATAAACTACGCTTTCTGGGGGTGTTTCTCAATGTCGAGGACGCTTCCTTGGTGAGCCCGAGCGTTAGAGAGAAAGATACAGATGACCGTGAAGATAACAAATCTATAAACTCTCTGACAAATAAAAACACCATTGAAGGGTTTCTGTTAACACGATATAAAGTGTGCATATTATATTACTTTTGTTTTGAAGTTTAGTGACTGCTCCCTGCTGCTGCAAAGTGGGAGCAATGTTAGTTTGTACATTTTCTATTTAAAGTTTACTGACATTAAGAACAAATTGGACACCTTGGGTCCAGAAACACACAAACCAAGTGAGGACAGACCAACTGTTCTCCTGTGCAAAATCATCAGCTGTTTATACATAACTTAGAATCAGTCATATTTTTGTATATTAATTTGACACTGCTTAATTTTGTATTGTATAATAATTCTCATGTTACATTTTTGTATTACTGTTTTACACATTCGAAATAAATCTAATCAAATCAAACCAAAAACTAAACCAGGTTCTTGTTTATTACATGTCTTTGTGCACGTTGTTCTTTGTAGTGTCAAGTCATATTTTAAAGTTCTACCCATTTCTCCACCTTTCCTCAAAGGTGTGCATCTGGTTTCTAATTCTCAGAGTTTCTCCATTACATAGATTTCATTTACTAAGTTATTCCATTGTGAGTTTACTAAGTTATTATCTTTTAGCCAATTCCTTGTAATGATCGCTATTCTAATTACCAGAAATAAGTAACAAGTTGTTCTTTTCAAGTGTTGGGGACCTGCAAGACCGCTAAACACCTGAACTCTTTAAAGAACATCCATAACATTCATCTGTTTGCAACTCATATCAATATTCCAATTACTTGTACATAGACTATTCTACACTATCTCTACTATATTCTATTGTACTTACTTGCACTATTGTGTCTGTTGTATTGTGTTGCTCTGTTGGAGGAGCCTCCGATGTTCATTGTCATAACTACACTGTATGCACAATGACAATAAAAGCCTTGAATCGTGAACTTCTAATATTGCTGTAATTCAGCCCTTCATAGTTTTCTCCACGTGTTTTCTTGTGCAAAATAAACCAGGGTTCTTGTTGATAACATTTCTTTGTGCACGCTTTTTCTCAGAACATGCATAACAAGTTGTTCTTTTAAAAAGTGTTGTGGACCTGCATGACACCTCAGTGTGATGCTAACACTGTGATGCTAACAGTTAGCTCCTCACCTGTCACTCCTCTCAATGTCACCACATTTCTCCCTGACGCCGGACAGAGGCTCCGGTTCTCGGTTCTCTCTCCCCGGGGACTAGGCCACACTAAGGCCGGGCAGAGTGCTGCATGACGGGCAGAAACGGAGAGGAACCGACCGCTCAGTCCGGAGCAGAGAAGCCGGGCAGCGGAGGACGCCATCTTTGCGTCACTGACAGTGAGAGAGGCGGTCTGCGCATGTGCGGAATGTTGGTCAATGTAGTTTTTTATGGAAAGTGTGAAAACTACAATTTAGAGTTTTCAAATTTGCAAGATTCATAGAAATAAAATAGAAATAGTGCAAGAAGAGTCTATATACAAGTAAATGGAATATGATATATTAGATAAATAATTAGCAAAATGCAATCAGATGAATGTTTATGGATGTTCTTTAAAAAGTGCAGGTGTTTAGAGTCTTAGAAACAATAATAACACAACCGAGATCACCTTTTAATCATATTTTAATGGAGTCAGAAGACCTTGGATGATACAAATAATATAAGTACTGAAGTAATGAAATAAAGGGAGTAAACATAGATTCATTAAATACTCATTAAGTTAAAGTGAATATGTGCACGTTGCAATACCAGATTATAAGTGAAATAATGCCAGGTGGTGCAGAGTTGAGAAATTAATGATTTTATTCAAATGTGATTATAAAAGCTGTAGTATTTTTGAATCCTGTAGTATTTTTTATTTTAAATATCCAGAATATTTTGTATTGATTTGTTTATATTTGATATAATATATTTCATTTTTTCATTTTATTTCCATCCATCTTCTCCCGCTTATCCGTGGTCGGGTCGCGGAGGTAGCAGTTCCAGACTGTGTGTGTGTGTGTGTGTGTGTGTGTGTGTGTGTGTGTTACTTTACGCTGTGAATCCCAAACATCTGGCTGTATTTAGTCTGGAAACCAACATTTTTTTGGGCAATTTGACACAAAACATTTAAATAAATCACTTTTAAATGTATATAAAGGTAATGACATATCTTGCCAAGATTTACATGAGAAAATAGATTGTTAGCTTATCTTGGCTCTGTCCACACGGTAAAAGACTCACCTCCAAATGTTACTACATTCATCTAAATATATCTGGTTGTTTTTACCCAAAGAGACCCAACATCATCATCATCATCATCATCATCATCATCTTGGTTTTGGGCATTTTGTAATTTAGTTTTTCTGTCAGTCCCATCTTGGTTTTTTGAACCAATGGATTAATTGGTTGAGGCTGGAGTAAAGTTCAATCAAACGCTGAAAAACACATTTCTTGAGGCGAACACAATTATGTAATTAACTTTGACGAGGAAAGCAAATGGCTTTATGTCCGTGCTTGTGAGCGTTATATCGTTTTTGTGACAAAATACAAAATCACATGGACGAATCCCATTGGACCGGGGAGATGCTGCCTTCAGGGACCAACTCAGGAATCCCTGCAGCTCTCTATAGAGGTGCAGGGAGGTATACATATTGACCCTGAAGCTGCTGGTTCCCTCGACAAAAAGCAACAGGATTTCTCCATAGGATTTTGGAATATTGTAAAAAATAAGATCTGTGGAAAACGAACCTGTTTGATAAATGCACGTTTTGTTCAGCCGGAAAATCTCCACATGTCTACCTTACTTTTATAATGTTCGAATCATAAATCTAATGGCCAGAAGCAAAATGCTAACGTTATGCTATAAAGGAACTACAGCCGAGTACAGCAGCACGACTTCAACATCACGCCAACTTAAGATCCATATTCAAACATCCATCTTCTCCCTCTTATCCGTGGTCGGGTCGTGGAGGTATCAGTTCCAGCAGAGAGCCCCAAACGTTCCTTTCCCCTCATCATCCAGCTCTGGCTGGGGGATCCCAAGGCGCTCCCAGGCCAGCGAAGAGATATAATCCCTCCACCTCAGTGGCGAGCCGTCAGGGCCATCTAGGCCCTCTGTGAGGGCCTAAGATATTCTAAAAAATAATATTTGAAAACATTAAAAAAAAAACATTTTCTTTTTTAAATATTATTTTTTATATTTTTGTTTTGTTACATTTTTCATTAGTTTTACCAAAATAACTTGATTTAATTGTATTTAAAATAACATTTCCAAAGAAATAAATCCTTCGAATCTGCCTGTTCAGTTTCTGTTGGAATGTGAAGGGTTAAATGCCGTCTCTGCGAGTTAATAGGCTTGTTTGAGACGAGCTGCGGCTCGCCTCAAAAGTAGACGAGAATAGCCGATCGCAGCCGGGGGAGGTCTCAAAAAGCTCGCCTGAAGTCGGACAGCTCGGGGTGTTTCTCAATCGCGAGTACGCTTGCTTGGTAGCACATGTCTGCCGAGCATCTTGCTTCAGAAGCGAGTCAAGAATACTTCCTGGCATTTGGAAAACAAAGAGTGGAACAGGCTAGCAAGTGTGCAGGTGTGCGTCATATGAGAGGCCCCGCCTCTTACATCTTCCGCCACAGATTTAGGGAAATTGTTCCGTGCGCAAAGCATTGTGGGGATTTTAAGACCGCGGAGTCTACTCATGTGCAGCCTCGATATTTCTCCAAACGGAGTTCGCCGGGCTCGGTAGATTTCCAAGTATGCTGGAGATTGGAACAGTACTTCGGCGGCACTCGATGACGTAGTATGCTTGAAATAGTGGCTCTGAAGCAGCTTTACTCGACATTGAGAAACATCCTCGGAGTCGGCTTCTTCTTCTTCTTCTTCTTCTCTCGGTTTTTTGGCGGATTGCAAACAACTTTAAGGTGCATACCGCCACCTCCGGAGTCGGCTTGACTCGGTTTGCATTTATAAAGAATGCACAAATGTGTTTAATCGTTAATGTCAGATATGTACTCAGTAAATACATTTGTTCCTGCTCAAGATTAGATTCAACTTTATTGTTATTGCACAGATTACAGGAGACAACGAAATGCAGTTTAGCTTCTAACCAGGAGAGCAGCAAGCAGTACAGAGAAAAGTGATGAACACAATCTACAGAATAAAATATAGAATTTTTTTTATGTCAATTTATTGAACATGTCAGAAACAAAACATACATCAATACTAATAATAATATATATTGCTTCTTCTTTTTCTTCCTTCTCACTCATAATAATAATAATTATACCAAAGTACAATAAAATAAATAATAATGATAATGGAAAAAAAGAAGTAAAAAGAAACAACAACAATAAAATCTTAAATTAGTCTCTGTCGTGTTCAACAGGGGCAAGAAGAAGCTTAAAAAACTTTTCTGGTCCTACCCCTTCTAGCGTACATTTTCCTTGCAATATAAATGATGTAATTAGGTCATCGTCATCAGCGACATGTTTGACTTGATACTTTTTTTTTTTTTTTTTTTTTTTACAAAAACAATCAGGAAGTAATTACTTTTACAATTACAGGAAATAACAAAAGGAATTTTCACAGGTACTGTTCATAACCACTAATGGTTTGGCTCTTGAATAATACTTTCATTTTATATAAAGTTGTACAATTCTTCAGTGCATCACTACATTTATTCCACAGACTAACACCTTTTGATGAGATGCAATGAAGTTTGGCATTTGTACGTACGGGTGGTTTTTTGAAAATGCAGTTTCCTCTCAACATGTGCATGCCTTCTCTCCGTGTAAAAAGTCCCTGGACACCATGAGGCAAATGATGATTTGCGGCTTTGTACATAATTTGAATGGTTTTATAGTCAACCAGGTCTTGTAGTTTTAGTGTTTTTAGTTTGATAAATAATTTATTTGTTGGTTCTCTGTACGAAGTTGTATAACTCGTATTGCTCTTTTTTGCAGGATGAAGATAGGATGTGTATTTGTTTTGTATGTGTTCCCCCAAACCTCCACACAATACATCATGTATGGAAGTATGAAGGAGCAGTACAGCATAAACAAGGAAGCTTGATTAACTAGGTATTTGGCTTTATTTAGAATTGGTATTGATTTGGATATGTTGGCTTTGATATAGCTTATATGTGGTTTCCAACTTAATGTATTGTCTATGATTATTCCAAGGAATTTTATTTCCGTTACTCTTTCTAGTTGGACGCCATTTATAGTGAGTTTCTTCTCTGTATTGGTCGACCGATTCCCAAATATTATGAGTTTGGTTTTGCTTGCGTTCAATGTTAATTTATTTTGGTCAAACCAGATCTTCATCCTGCTCAGTTCCTTTTCCATTGTGACCAATAGCTGTTCTAGATTGTCCCCACAGCAGAGTAGACTTGTGTCATCTGCAAAAAGAATGGTTTTAACAGTTTTTGATACTTCACATATGTTGTTAATATACAGAATAAATAATAATGGCCCCAAGACTGAGCCTTGAGGCACCCCGCATGTAACCTGTAGTAGTTGTGATGTATGACTTTGTATTTCAACGTACTGATTCCTGTTATGTAGGTAGCTGGATAGCCATGATAGTGCAACACCTCTAATTCCATATCTCTGTAGTTTTTTTAATAATAGTTCATGGTCAACCGTGTCAAATGCTTTTTTAAGGTCCAGAAATATCCCTATTGCATATTCTTTCTTTTCTATTGCCTTAGTAATGTGTTCCATAAATTCTATAACTGCAAATGATGTGGTTCTGTTTGCTCTGAAACCATATTGTTGTTCATAGAGTATGTTATGTTTGGTGAAGAAGTCATTTAGTCTTACATAGTAGATTTTTTCCAGTATTTTAGAAAACTGTGGGAGCAATGAAATTGGTCTATAGTTTGACAGTACATGTTTATCTCCAGATTTATGTATCGGTATGACTTTAGCAGTTTTCATTTTATTTGGAAATACACCGGTTTGTATTGACTGATTACAGATGTGAGTTAGTGGTTTGGCTATACATTCAATAATGTTTTTAACTGTATACATGTCAATATCATGACAGTCTGTAGACCTTTTACTCTTTAGTTTTTTAACTGTGTCAATAATTTCATTTTCATCAGTCCCTCTTAAGAATATAGTTTCCTTCACATTTATATCTTTACTTTCTACACCTTCACTACTACCAGTATTTGGAATTTCCCCAGCTAGACAAGGACCAACATTAACAAAATACTCATTAAACTGTTCAGCAACTGAGGTCATGTCATAAATGACTGTATTGTCTTTTGACAGAAAACTGTTTGGGTGCTGTGCTTTTCCATTTCCTTTTTTAATAATGGTATTTAATACATTCCATGTGTTTTTAATATTATTTTTGTTA